GTCAGGCTTTCACAAGCCAGCCTCAAAGTTTGTTCTCAAACTTTAAGAATCTAGTTGGTAAGTGCTATTTGTTGGGGTAGTTTCAAGTGACCTGTGCTACAAGAGAATGTTGTCTTTTGGAATTCAGAGTGGCATCTGCATGCCTTGCTTATTAAATTTCAATCTAAAGCACATTAAGATCACTTCAAACAGGAGCATTGATTTGTCCTTTGTTCATAAGTGCTTCTCTTTGGGGTAGTTTTAATAAGGACAAGAACAACAAGCAAGACTGAACCCATTTTGTATGGAATTGCATTGTTTACTATTACCTTTTTGTTCTGTGCTAATTTTACATCTTCTCGTCTTGATATTCCAACAAGTTGGAGTAACATGGGGACACTCCTTTGCATCTTCCTCATTTTTAATTTCTTTGCCCTTGTGATAGAAAACCAGTTGACATCAACTCTAACTTTAGCATCTTTCTTTTAAGCAGAGCAGAAAGTGCTATCAAGTTGGGGTAGATGTTTGCTGACTAAGTCACCTCTGTCCACCATGATTCTGTTCCATTTGTACTCCTCTTCTATCCAATTTCAAATCCTGGATTTTCCTTTGTTGGTGAAGACTTTAAACAGACAAGATTTTAGTCTGCCACCATTGTCTCTATCGGTACCCTCACAAAAGCACTGACTTTGATGCTGTATTTGGTAAGTGCTATTTGTTGGGGTAGTTTCAAGTGACCTGTACTACAAGAGAGTGTTGTCTTATGGAATTTACAGTGACATCTGCATCTAAAACACATTAAGATCACTTCAAACAGGAGCATTGATTTGTCCTTTGTTCATAAGTGCTTCTCTTTGGGGTAGTTTTAATAAGGACAAGAACAACAAGCAAGACTGAACCCATTTTGTAAGGAATTGCATTGTTTACTACTACCTTTTTGTTCTTTGCTAATTTTACATCTTCTCGTCTTGATATTCCAACAAGTTGGAGTAACATGGGGACACTCCTTTGCATCTGCCTCATTTTTAATTGATAGAAAAGCAGTTGACATCAACTCTAACTTTAGCATCTTTCTTTTAAGCAAAGTAGAAAGTGCTATCAAGTTGGGGTAGATGTTTGCTGACTTAGTCACCTCTGCCCACCAAGATTCTGTTCTTTTTGTAGTCCTATTCTATTCAATTTTTAATTGCAACCTAGTAATGTTTGGAAAGAGAGGCAATCGTAATTCTGTTTTAGAATAACTGTTTCTCATTTGGCCAGTGTTGTCCCTGTTTTTATTTTTATATTATGGTTTTGTCCATCATGCACTTCTACCACTTGCATCCAAACAGCAGCATACACACAGTAAACACTAGAGGGTGTGAGTTTGCATGAGAGTGCTCCCGTTGTTTACTGGTTTTGCACCTGGAATTGGTATAGCTTGTCAAATGGTCTCCTAATTCCTTCCTGCTGCAGGACACATAAAGCCTAGATGCATTTGCATCAAGTCAATTCAAATGTGTGAAAAATCCCATCACTTTCAACAATGCAGAGTTGTTCTGAAGACTTTCAGCCAGCAATCAAAACTTGATTAGCGTTCAAGAAAGGCTGAGTGTTAACGACTGTGGCAAAACCATAAGGCAAGTGCACCCTTATAATGGGTCCTGGCAAAGTACATGTCTCATATCTGCTCTTTCTAACAGCAGACAACAAGATGCGTGTGGCACTGCCTGCCAATGATTTCTCTTGCTGCTAAAGACTATGAACGGACAAGGTTTTAATCTGCTACCATTGTCACTATCGGTACCCTCACAAAGGCACTGACTTGGATGCTGTAATTGGTAAGTGCTATTTGTTGGGGTAGTTTCAAGTGACCTGTGCTACAAGAGAATGTTGTCTTTTGGAATTCAGAGTGGCATCTGCATGCCTTGCTTATTAAATTTCAATCTAAAGCACATTAAGATCACTTCAAACAGGAGCATTGATTTGTCCTTTGTTCATAAGTGCTTCTCTTTGGGGTAGTTTTAATAAGGACAAGAACAACAAGCAAGACTGAACCCATTTTGTATGGAATTGCATTGTTTACTATTACCTTTTTGTTCTTTGCTAATTTTACATCTTCTCGTCTTGATATTCCAACAAGTTGGAGTAACATGGGGACACTCCTTTGCATCTTCCTCATTTTTAATTTCTTTGCCCTTGTGATAGAAAACCAGTTGACATCAACTCTAACTTTAGCATCTTTCTTTTAAGCAAAGTAGAAAGTGCTATCAAGTTGGGGTAGATGTTTGCTGACTTAGTCACCTCTGTCCACCACGATTCTGTTCCATTTGTACTCCTCTTCTATCCAATTTTAAATCCTGGATTTTCCTTTGTTGGTGAAGACTTTAAACAGACAAGATTTTAGTCTGCCACCATTGTCTCTATCGGTACCCTCACAAAAGCACTGACTTTGATGCTGTATTTGGTAAGTGCTATTTGTTGGGGTAGTTTCAAGTGACATGTGCTACAAGAGAGTGTTGTCTTTTGGAATTTACAGTGACATCTGCATCTAAAACACATTAAGATCACTTCAAACAGGAGCATTGATTTGTCCTTTGTTCATAAGTGCTTCTCTTTGGGGTAGTTTTAATAAGGACAAGAACAACAAGCAAGACTGAACCCATTTTGTATGGAATTGCATTGTTTACTATTACCTTTTTGTTCTTTGCTAATTTTACATCTTGTCGTCTTGATATTCCAACAAGTTGGAGTAACATGGGGACACTCCTTTGCATCTGCCTCATTTTTAATTGATAGAAACCAGTTGAGGTCAACTCTAACTTTAGCATCTTTCTTTTAAGCAAAGTAGAAAGTGCTATCAAGTTGGGGTAGATGTTTGCTGACTTAGTCACCTCTGCCCACCAAGATTCTGTTCTTTTTGTAGTCCTATTCTATTCAGTTTTTAATTGCAACCTAGTAATGTGTGGAAAGAGAAGCAATCGTAATTCTGTTTTAGAATAACTGTTTCTCATTTGGCCAGTGTTGTCCCTGTTTTTATTTTTATATTATGGTTTTGTCCATCATGCACTTCTACCACTTGCATCCAAACAGCAGCATACACACTGTAAACACTAGAGGGTGTAAGTTTGCATGAGAGTGCTCCCGTTGTTTACTGCTTTTGCACCTGGAATTGGTATAGCTTGTCAAATGGTCTCCTAATTCCTTCCTGCTGCAGGACACATAAGGCCTAGATGCATTTGCATCAAGTCAATTCAAATGTGTGAAAAATCCCATCACTTTCAACAATGCAGAGTTGTTCTGAAGACTTTCAGCCAGCAATCAAAACTTGATTAGCGTTCAAGAAAGGCTGAGTGTTAACGACTGTGGCAAAACCATAAGGCAAGTGCACCCTTATAATGGGTCCTGGCAAAATACATGTCTCATATCTGCTCTTTCTAACAGCAGACAACAAGATGCGTGTGTCACTGCCTGCCAATGATTTCTCTTGCTGCTAAAGACCATGAACGGACAAGGTTTTAATCTGCTACTATTGTCACTATCGGTACCCTCACAAAGGCACTGACTTGGATGCTGTAATTGGTAAGTGCTATTTGTTGGGGTAGTTTCAAGTGACCTGTGCTACAAGAGAATGTTGTCTTTTGGAATTCAGAGTGGCATCTGCATGCCTTGCTTATTAAATTTCAATCTAAAGCACATTAAGATCACTTCAAACAGGAGCATTGATTTGTCCTTTGTTCATAAGTGCTTCTCTTTGGGGTAGTTTTAATAAGGACACGTACAACAAGCAAGACTGAACCCATTTTGTATGGAATTGCATTGTTTACTATTACCTTTTTGTTCTTTGCTAATTTTACATCTTTTCGTCTTGATATTCCAACAAGTTGGAGTAACATGGGGACACTCCTTTGCATCTGCCTCATTTTTAATTTCTTTGCCCTTGTGATAGAAAACCAGTTGACGTCAACTCTAACTTTAGCATCTTTCTTTTAAGCAGAGTAGAAAGTGCTATCAAGTTGGGGTAGATGTTTGCTGACTAAGTCACCTCTGTCCACCACGATTCTGTTCCATTTGTACTCCTCTTCTATCCAATTTTAAATCCTGGATTTTCCTTTGCTGGTGAAGACTTTAAACTGACAAGATTTTAGTCTGCCACCATTGTCTCTATCGGTACCCTCACAAAAGCACTGACTTTGATGCTGTATTTGGTAAGTGCTATTTGTTGGGGTAGTTTCAAGTGACCTGTGCTACAAGAGAGTGTTGTCTTTTGGAATTTACAGTGACATCTGCATCTAAAACACATTAAGATCACTTCAAACAGGAGCATTGATTTGTCCTTTGTTCATAAGTGCTTCTCTTTGGGGTAGTTTTAATAAGGACAAGAACAACAAGCAAGACTGAACCCATTTTGTATGGAATTGCATTGTTTACTATTACCTTTTTGTTCTTTGCTAATTTTACATCTTCTCGTCTTGATATTCCAACAAGTTGGAGTAACATGGGGACACTCCTTTGCATCTTCCTCATTTTTAATTTCTTTGCCCTTGTGATAGAAAACCAGTTGACATCAACTCTAACTTTAGCATCTTTCTTTTAAGCAAAGTAGAAAGTGCTATCAAGTTGGGGTAGATGTTTGCTGACTTAGTCACCTCTGTCCACCACGATTCTGTTCCATTTGTACTCCTCTTCTATCCAATTTTAAATCCTGGATTTTCCTTTGTTGGTGAAGACTTTAAACAGACAAGAATTTAGTCTGCCACCATTGTCTCTATCGGTACCCTCACAAAAGCACTGACTTTGATGCTGTATTTGGTAAGTGCTATTTGTTGGGGTAGTTTTAAGTGACATGTGCTACAAGAGAGTGTTGTCTTTTGGAATTTACAGTGACATCTGCATCTAAAACACATTAAGATCACTTCAAACAGGAGCATTGATTTGTCCTTTGTTCATAAGTGCTTCTCTTTGGGCTAGTTTTAATAAGGACAAGAACAACAAGCAAGACTGAACCCATTTTGTATGGAATTGCATTGCTTACTATTACCTTTTTGTTTTTTGCTAATTTTACATCTTCTCGTCTTGATATTCCATTACGTTGGAGTAACATGGGGAAACTCCTTTGCATCTGCCTCATTTTTATTTGATAGAAACCAGTTGAGGTCAACTCTAACTTTAGCATCTTTCTTTTAAGCATAGTAGAAAGTGCTATCAAGTTGGGGTAGATGTTTACTGACTTAGTCACCTCTGCCCACCAAGATTCTGTTCTTTTTGTACTCCTATTCTATTCAATTTTTAATTGCAACCTAGTAATGTTTGGAAAGAGAGGCAATCGTAATTCTGTTTTAGAATAACTGTTTCTCATTTGGCCAGTGTTGTCCCTGTTTTTATTTTTATATTATGGTTTTGTCCATCATGCACTCTACCACTTGCATCCAAACAGCAGCATACACACAGTAAACACTAGAGGGTGTGAGTTTGCATGAGAGTGCTCCCGTTGTTTACTGGTTTTGCACCTGGAATTGGTATAGCTTGTCAAATGGTCTCCTAATTCCTTCCTGCTGCAGGACACACAAAGCCTAGATGCATTTGCATCAAGTCAATTCAAATGTGTGAAAAATCCCATCACTTTCAACAATGCAGAGTTGTTCTGAAGACTTTCAGCCAGCAATCAAAACTTGATTAGCGTTCAAGAAAGGCTGAGTGTTAACGACTGTGGCAAAACCATAAGGCAAGTGCACCCTTATAATGGGTCCTGGCAAAGTACATGTCTCATATCTGCTCTTTCTAACAGCAGACAACAAGATGCGTGTGGCACTGCCTGCCAATGATTTCTCTTGCTGCTAAAGACTATGAACGGACAAGGTTTTAATCTGCTGCTATTGTCACTATCGGTACCCTCACAAAGGCACTGACTTGGATGCTGTAATTGGTAAGTGCTATTTGTTGGGGTAGTTTCAAGTGACCTGTGCTACAAGAGAATGTTGTCTTTTGGAATTCAGAGTGGCATCTGCATGCCTTGCTTATTGAATTTCAATCTAAAGCACATTAAGATCACTTCAAACAGGAGCATTGATTTGTCCTTTGTTCATAAGTGCTTCTCTTTGGGGTAGTTTTAATAAGGACAAGAACAACAAGCAAGACTGAACCCATTTTGTATGGAATTGCATTGTTTACTATTACCTTTTTGTTCTTTGCTAATTTTACATCTTCTCGTCTTGATATTCCAACAAGTTGGAGTAACATGGGGACACTCCTTTGCATCTTCCTCATTTTTAATTTCTTTGCCCTTGAGATAGAAAACCAGTTGACATCAACTCTAACTTTAGCATCTTTCTTTTAAGCAAAGTAGAAAGTGCTATCAAGTTGGGGTAGATGTTTGCTGACTTAGTCACCTCTGCCCACCAAGATTCCTTTCCATTTGTACTCCTCTTCTATCCAATTTTAAATCCTGGATTTTCCTTTGTTGGTGAAGACTTTAAACAGACAAGATTTTAGTCTGCCACCATTGTCTCTATCGGTACCCTCACAAAAGCACTGACTTTGATGCTGTATTTGGTAAGTGCTATTTGTTGGCGTAGTTTCAAGTGACCTGTGCTACAAGAGAGTGTTGTCTTTTGGAATTCAGAGTGGCATCTGCATGCCTTGCTTATTAAATTTCAATCTAAAGCACATTAAGATCACTTCAAACAGGAGCATTGATTTGTCCTTTGTTCATAAGTGCTTCTCTTTGGGGTAGTTTTAATAAGGACAAGAACAACAAGCAAGACTGAACCCATTTTGTATGGAATTGCATTGTTTACTATTACCTTTTTGTTCTTTGCTAATTTTACATCTTCTCGTCTTGATATTCCAACAAGTTGGAGTAACATGGGGACACTCCTTTGCATCTGCCTCATTTTTAATTGATAGAAACCAGTTGAGGTCAACTCTAACTTTAGCATCTTTCTTTTAAGCAAAGTAGAAAGTGCTATCAAGTTGGGGTAGATGTTTGCTGACTTAGTCACCTCTGCCCACCAAGATTCTGTTCTTTTTGTAGTCCTATTCTATTCAGTTTTTAATTGCAACCTAGTAATGTGTGGAAAGAGAAGCAATCGTAATTCTGTTTTAGAATAACTGTTTCTCATTTGGCCAGTGTTGTCCCTGTTTTTATTTTTATATTATGGTTTTGTCCATCATGCACTTCTACCACTTGCATCCAAACAGCAGCATACACAATGTAAACACTAGAGGGTGTAAGTTTGCATGAGAGTGCTCCCGTTGTTTACTGCTTTTGCACCTGGAATTGGTATAGCTTGTCAAATGGTCTCCTAATTCCTTCCTGCTGCAGGACACATAAGGCCTAGATGCATTTGCATCAAGTCAATTCAAATGTGTGAAAAATCCCATCACTTTCAACAATGCAGAGTTGTTCTGAAGACTTTCAGCCAGCAATCAAAACTTGATTAGCGTTCAAGAAAGGCTGAGTGTTAACGACTGTGGCAAAACCATAAGGCAAGTGCACCCTTATAATGGGTCCTGGCAAAGTACATGTCTCATATCTGCTCTTTCTAACAGCAGACAACAAGATGCGTGTGGCACTGCCTGCCAATGATTTCTCTTGCTGCTAAAGACTATGAACGGACAAGGTTTTAATCTGCTACTATTGTCACTATCGGTACCCTCACAAAGGCACTGACTTGGATGCTGTAATTGGTAAGTGCTATTTGTTGGGGTAGTTTCAAGTGACCTGTGCTACAAGAGAATGTTGTCTTTTGGAATTCAGAGTGGCATCTGCATGCCTTGCTTATTAAATTTCAATCTAAAGCACATTAAGATCACTTCAAACAGGAGCATTGATTTGTCCTTTGTTCATAAGTGCTTCTCTTTGGGGTAGTTTTAATAAGGACAAGTACAACAAGCAAGACTGAACCCATTTTGTATGGAATTGCATTGTTTACTATTACCTTTTTGTTCTTTGCTAATTTTACATCTTCTCGTCTTGATATTCCAACAAGTTGGAGTAACATGGGGACACTCCTTTGCATCTGCCTAATTTTTAATTTCTTTGCCCTTGTGATAGAAAACCAGTTGACGTCAACTCTAACTTTAGCATCTTTCTTTTAAGCAGAGTAGAAAGTGCTATCAAGTTGGGGTAGATGTTTGCTGACTAAGTCACCTCTGTCCACCATGATTCTGTTCCATTTGTACTCCTCTTCTATCCAATTTTAAATCCTGGATTTTCCTTTGCTGGTGAAGACTTTAAACTGACAAGATTTTAGTCTGCCACCATTGTCTCTATCGGTACCCTCACAAAAGCACTGACTTTGATGCTGTAATTGGTAAGTGCTATTTGTTGGGGTAGTTTCAAGTGACCTGTGCTACAAGAGAATGTTGTCTTTTGGAATTCAGAGTGGCATCTGCATGCCTTGCTTATTGAATTTCAATCTAAAGCACATTAAGATCACTTCAAACAGGAGCATTGATTTGTCCTTTGTTCATAAGTGCTTCTCTTTGGGGTAGTTTTAATAAGGACAAGAACAACAAGCAAGACTGAACCCATTTTGTATGGAATTGCATTGTTTACTATTACCTTTTTGTTCTTTGCTAATTTTACATCTTCTCGTCTTGATATTCCAACAAGTTGGAGTAACATGGGGACACTCCTTTGCATCTTCCTCATTTTTAATTTCTTTGCCCTTGAGATAGAAAACCAGTTGACATCAACTCTAACTTTAGCATCTTTCTTTTAAGCAAAGTAGAAAGTGCTATCAAGTTGGGGTAGATGTTTGCTGACTTAGTCACCTCTGCCCACCAAGATTCCTTTCCATTTGTACTCCTCTTCTATCCAATTTTAAATCCTGGATTTTCCTTTGTTGTTGAAGACTTTAAACAGACAAGATTTTAGTCTGCCACCATTGTCTCTATCGGTACCCTCACAAAAGCACTGACTTTGATGCTGTATTTGGTAAGTGCTATTTGTTGGCGTAGTTTCAAGTGACCTGTGCTACAAGAGAGTGTTGTCTTTTGGAATTCAGAGTGGCATCTGCATGCCTTGCTTATTAAATTTCAATCTAAAGCACATTAAGATCACTTCAAACAGGAGCATTGATTTGTCCTTTGTTCATAAGTGCTTCTCTTTGGGGTAGTTTTAATAAGGACAAGAACAACAAGCAAGACTGAACCCATTTTGTATGGAATTGCATTGTTTACTATTACCTTTTTGTTCTTTGCTAATTTTACATCTTCTCGTCTTGATATTCCAACAAGTTGGAGTAACATGGGGACACTCCTTTGCATCTGCCTCATTTTTAATTGATAGAAACCAGTTGAGGTCAACTCTAACTTTAGCATCTTTCTTTTAAGCAAAGTAGAAAGTGCTATCAAGTTGGGGTAGATGTTTGTTGACTTAGTCACCTCTGCCCACCAAGATTCTGTTCTTTTTGTAGTCCTATTCTATTCAGTTTTTAATTGCAACCTAGTAATGTGTGGAAAGAGAAGCAATCGTAATTCTGTTTTAGAATAACTGTTTCTCATTTGGCCAGTGTTGTCCCTGTTTTTATTTTTATATTATGGTTTTGTCCATCATGCACTTCTACCACTTGCATCCAAACAGCAGCATACACAATGTAAACACTAGAGGGTGTAAGTTTGCATGAGAGTGCTCCCGTTGTTTACTGCTTTTGCACCTGGAATTGGTATAGCTTGTCAAATGGTCTCCTAATTCCTTCCTGCTGCAGCACACATAAGGCCTAGATGCATTTGCATCAAGTCATTTCAAATGTGTGAAAAATCCCATCACTTTCAACAATGCAGAGTTGTTCTGAAGACTTTCAGCCAGCAATCAAAACTTGATTAGCGTTCAAGAAAGGCTGAGTGTTAACGACTGTGGCAAAACCATAAGGCAAGTGCACCCTTATAATGGGTCCTGGCAAAATACATGTCTCATATCTGCTCTTTCTAACAGCAGACAACAAGATGCGTGTGGCACTGCCTGCCAATGATTTCTCTTGCTGCTAAAGACTATGAACGGACAAGGTTTTAATCTGCTACTATTGTCACTATCGGTACCCTCACAAAGGCACTGACTTGGATGCTGTAATTGGTAAGTGCTATTTGTTGGGGTAGTTTCAAGTGACCTGTGCTACAAGAGAATGTTGTCTTTTGGAATTCAGAGTGGCATCTGCATGCCTTGCTTATTAAATTTCAATCTAAAGCACATTAAGATCACTTCAAACAGGAGCATTGATTTGTCCTTTGTTCATAAGTGCTTCTCTTTGGGGTAGTTTTAATAAGGACAAGAACAACAAGCAAGACTGAACCCATTTTGTAAGGAATTGCATTGTTTACTATTACCTTTTTGTTCTTTGCTAATTTTACATCTTCTCGTCTTGATATTCCAACAAGTTGGAGTAACATGGGGACACTCCTTTTCATCTTCCTCATTTTTAATTTCTTTGCCCTTGTGATAGAAAAGCAGTTGACATCAACTCTAACTTTAGCATCTTTCTTTTAAGCAAAGTAGAAAGTGCTATCAAGTTGGGGTAGATGTTTGCTGACTTAGTCACCTCTGCCCACAAAGAGTCTGTTCCATTTGTACTCCTCTTCTATCCAATTTTAAATCCTGGATTTTCCTTTGTTGGTGAAGACTTTAAACAGACAAGAATTTAGTCTGCCACCATTGTCTCTATCGGTACCCTCACAAAAGCACTGACTTTGATGCTGTATTTGGTAAGTGCTATTTGTTGGGGTAGTTTTAAGTGACATGTGCTACAAGAGAGTGTTGTCTTTTGGAATTTACAGTGACATCTGCATCTAAAACACATTAAGATCACTTCAAACAGGAGCATTGATTTGTCCTTTGTTCATAAGTGCTTCTCTTTGGGCTAGTTTTAATAAGGACAAGAACAACAAGCAAGACTGAACCCATTTTGTATGGAATTGCATTGCTTACTATTACCTTTTTGTTTTTTGCTAATTTTACATCTTCTCGTCTTGATATTCCATTACGTTGGAGTAACATGGGGAAACTCCTTTGCATCTGCCTCATTTTTATTTGATAGAAACCAGTTGAGGTCAACTCTAACTTTAGCATCTTTCTTTTAAGCATAGTAGAAAGTGCTATCAAGTTGGGGTAGATGTTTACTGACTTAGTCACCTCTGCCCACCAAGATTCTGTTCTTTTTGTACTCCTATTCTATTCAATTTTTAATTGCAACCTAGTAATGTTTGGAAAGAGAGGCAATCGTAATTCTGTTTTAGAATAACTGTTTCTCATTTGGCCAGTGTTGTCCCTGTTTTTATTTTTATATTATGGTTTTGTCCATCATGCACTCTACCACTTGCATCCAAACAGCAGCATACACACAGTAAACACTAGAGGGTGTGAGTTTGCATGAGAGTGCTCCCGTTGTTTACTGGTTTTGCACCTGGAATTGGTATAGCTTGTCAAATGGTCTCCTAATTCCTTCCTGCTGCAGGACACATAAAGCCTAGATGCATTTGCATCAAGTCAATTCAAATGTGTGAAAAATCCCATCACTTTCAACAATGCAGAGTTGTTCTGAAGACTTTCAGCCAGCAATCAAAACTTGATTAGCGTTCAAGAAAGGCTGAGTGTTAACGACTGTGGCAAAACCATAAGGCAAGTGCACCCTTATAATGGGTCCTGGCAAAGTACATGTCTCATATCTGCTCTTTCTAACAGCAGACAACAAGATGCGTGTGGCACTGCCTGCCAATGATTTCTCTTGCTGCTAAAGACTATGAACGGACAAGGTTTTAATCTGCTGCTATTGTCACTATCGGTACCCTCACAAAGGCACTGACTTGGATGCTGTAATTGGTAAGTGCTATTTGTTGGGGTAGTTTCAAGTGACCTGTGCTACAAGAGAATGTTGTCTTTTGGAATTCAGAGTGGCATCTGCATGCCTTGCTTATTGAATTTCAATCTAAAGCACATTAAGATCACTTCAAACAGGAGCATTGATTTGTCCTTTGTTCATAAGTGCTTCTCTTTGGGGTAGTTTTAATAAGGACAAGAACAACAAGCAAGACTGAACCCATTTTGTATGGAATTGCATTGTTTACTATTACCTTTTTGTTCTTTGCTAATTTTACATCTTCTCGTCTTGATATTCCAACAAGTTGGAGTAACATGGGGACACTCCTTTGCATCTTCCTCATTTTTAATTTCTTTGCCCTTGTGATAGAAAACCAGTTGACATCAACTCTAACTTTAGCATCTTTCTTTTAAGCAAAGTAGAAAGTGCTATCAAGTTGGGGTAGATGTTTGCTGACTTAGTCACCTCTGCCCACCAAGATTCCTTTCCATTTGTACTCCTCTTCTATCCAATTTTAAATCCTGGATTTTCCTTTGTTGGTGAAGACTTTAAACAGACAAGATTTTAGTCTGCCACCATTGTCTCTATCGGTACCCTCACAAAAGCACTGACTTTGATGCTGTATTTGGTAAGTGCTATTTGTTGGCGTAGTTTCAAGTGACCTGTGCTACAAGAGAGTGTTGTCTTTTGGAATTCAGAGTGGCATCTGCATGCCTTGCTTATTAAATTTCAATCTAAAGCACATTAAGATCACTTCAAACAGGAGCATTGATTTGTCCTTTGTTCATAAGTGCTTCTCTTTGGGGTAGTTTTAATAAGGACAAGAACAACAAGCAAGACTGAACCCATTTTGTATGGAATTGCATTGTTTACTATTACCTTTTTGTTCTTTGCTAATTTTACATCTTCTCGTCTTGATATTCCAACAAGTTGGAGTAACATGGGGACACTCCTTTGCATCTGCCTCATTTTTAATTGATAGAAACCAGTTGAGGTCAACTCTAACTTTAGCATCTTTCTTTTAAGCAAAGTAGAAAGTGCTATCAAGTTGGGGTAGATGTTTGTTGACT